TTAGATAAAAGGGTGATGCACAGGAAATTGGTTTCTTCCAAGGCAGGAAACATAGTGGCAACATCTGACTCACCCAGCCCTGAAGCAGCTTTTCACTCTGATTTCAGTCATCCAGGATAATTCATACAATGTTTAATCTATCCTGTTTATATCTTTTTATGGACATGGCTCCCCCAATGTCTGTTGGGTCTGCTCATCAGCTGTGCACTGTCCATGACCCTCCCCTACAAACTTTATGGTGAAAGAAGCCTGGCCCAAAAATTCTTGTCCTGCTCTCTCCCACAGCACCTCTCTGCATCGGATTCCCTGGACTGCTCCAAGTTTGTAACTCCCCTTCCCCCGGGGGAAGGAGGGGGGGAGAATTTAAAAATGGTGGCCAGACAGGAACATGCAAATAAAGCCGGGGATATTTAAATCCCGGGATTCATTTGCAACTCCGGTTGCCTGATTTGCCTACCTAGCTCAAATTAACGAGCTAGTATAGACATACCCTTCGAGGTGTAGAAAATTTGTGACTAACTCTTTGCGGTGGTGTTGTGCATGAAAATAAAATGGAGTAACAGGACACATGTAGTGCTCCAGTAGCATCTTTTCTTTCCTACAGTAAGAGGAATAATAGACTACCCTGTATCCCTTGCTTAGAGCAGAGCATCACCCCAGGGAAGAAAAGACCCGGCTTTGGGAAGATACAGCAAAACAAGCTGGTTTGATTATCGACAAGGGGAAGACAGAATGTATGGCTACCAATGTCCCAAAGCAACCAGTGAAAGGAGAAACTCTGGAAGTCATTCTGCCTGCCTAGCCTGAGATCGGTAATTCTAGTGAAACTGTGCTCAGTGTTCAGCAACGAATACCCAAAGCAGCAAACAGACTGCATGAACTTGGTAAGATTTGGAATAGTAAATACGACTTTCAACATGGGCATCGGGTCTGTCCTCCTCCACGGAGCAGAGCCAAGGAAATCTACAACAGCAAGTCGGAAGATGAACTCGTTCTAAAGTAAATGCCTGCAAGAGATCTTTGAGCCCGTTGGAAAGAGTTTCTTGCAACACCAGACCTCCTTGAGCAAGCCAGTCTACAGCATCAGCTGTGGTACGGAGATGCTGATGGCCGCAGTTAGGAGGGTGTGCTCCCAGGATGCCTCCAGCACAGTGCTCACCTCAAGCGGCAATACGGACATGCCTGGGAAGAGAAAGAGGGTGGCCTAGAGGAGCAGAGACGGACTCCAGATCTATCGACAGGAGACTCAGAAGCCTGCCTGGTGCTGGCCGTGGGCTCCCAAAGAGGCAATGGCAAATGTGGGAGCAGGCAGAGCAGCAATCAGCAGCTGGACCGAGCCAGTAAAAAAGGGGAGAAAACGGAGCTGTGGCCACTTTCAGCAGCAGATCTGTTACCCAGTCTCTCTGCTGAGTCCTTCCCAGTCTTGTTCTGTATCTGTAGCTGCTGCCATTCTCCTGCGTGCAGCTGGCCAGCCACAGAGGCTGGGAAAGTTTCTTGCTTTCTCCCCCCCCCCTTTCTGTGCCCCAAACAGGCGAAGAGCTGCCCAGGCACAACCCCTCCTTCAGCTGGGGGAGGGTTGGTACGTGGTGTCAGCGAGGGGAAGAGCCCGTGGAAGTTGAGCATAATTTCAAACCCTCAAGGAAATGCTCAGCCAACGCCACCCAGACCACCTTGGTTCTGATCCCAAGTTGTCCCAGCCTCCCTGCATCTTTTCGGTGTCCCTTTCCTTGTGCACTTGGGGCCAGGGTTAAGGCAAAGGGTCTGGGGGCCCATAGAGGCTTTGGGCCCTCTCCATGAACATAGACCCCTTTCCCTGCAGGCTTGCTCCAATGTGCATGGCTCTTTGCAGATTACCAGTCAATGTGCTGATGGCTGATAATCCTCGCCCAGTGGGATCCTCAGTGGCAGCGGTTCCCAGCTGATATCTGGCAATATTGGCCCCCTGAACGCACATTCCCAGCAAGGACTGACCCCTCCCTAATTTAAATAGGACACATCTGGGTCCTTTCCTAGACCGAGCCTTGGACCAGCGATCCGGCAATGTTGTTATCATGGCAAGGGGGCCACACAAGCTGTAGTTTCACTTCCCCTGTTTCTCTTCAAGGTGAAGACTTTTTCTTTTGGTCCACTAAGGTTTCAAACCCAAATCCACTTTGACGGGAGTGTAACTGGTGTGTAAAACCAAAGGCCACACACTCGGCTGCTGTAAATCCAAAGAGCCTCACTGATTTCCACCAACTGGGGGTCTGTTGAATTGAGTTCAGTGCAGCGATGCTGATTTACGCCTGCCGGGACCTGATCCCTAGGGGTGTTTAAATCTCGGCTTGACAAAGCCCTGGCTGGGTTGATTGAGTTGGGATTGGTCCTGCCTTGGGCAGGGGGCTGGACTTGATGACTCCTGAGGTCTCTTCCAGCCCTAGGATTCTATGATCCAACAGGGTGAAATCTCAGTTTTGCTCCTCATCCGAATAGCTGTGATTGAATCCCTTCCTTCACGTGGTAGGTCACATCACTGGACTTCAGGGAGGCGCATTATTCATCGTTCACGTAGCAGCTGTCGTCCTTGAGTCCTTTCAGGCTCTTAAATACGTTGACTGCGGGCAGTGCCGCGTACGCAATCTGCATTCGTTCAGCAGCGTCTTGGAACAGACGTGCCCTTCTGCTGAGACAGGCAGGCTGACGGCGGCTCTAGAGCCACTCTGGGACATGTGGGGCCAGCCCAGTCTTTTAATAGAAAAATAACTTTTGACCAGCAATTGCAGAAGGCGTTGTGGCTGGAATGGAAATGTCTGCTTCCACCACGTATTGTCTCCGCTACTGTCCGGTTTAGAACTCCTTGTGTTTGGCTCTTTGGCCTGCTGCCGGGGTGTGGGGGAGGCAAAGGCGGGGGGCTGCTTCAGAGCCCAGTGATTCACAAGGGCCCGGGGCTCCTGGGCGTTATTGCTGCTGGAGCCCCATGTGGCCCCCACCCCACCCCACGCTTTTGGGGAGCGCAGAGCAGGCCCCCATCTTGGATGAGGGACTTGTTTTGGCGTGTTTATTGGGAGCCAACACTACAACAGTTCTGGGGTATGATGTGTCAGAACAATAACGTGGGGGTTGGTGGGTGGTCTCAGCTGGGCTGTTCTCATGGTCTGAAACGCCCCCCGCGGGGACCTGCACTTGAGGACACAGTGTTCCCAAGCCCTGCATTGTACCCCTGGGCTTGGGGCTCCCACTACACAACGGCCCTTCTGACTATGGACGGGGTTATGCTACATCCACACTGCACCATGACCGGGTCACTGTGGGATTCCAGCTCGGGGCTGCTCTCCTGTGCTTGCAGATTCGCGTGTGGCTGGTACTGAGAACTGGGCTGAATTTTGACTGAGCCTGGCTTTATGATGCAGGTAGACAGACCCTCAGAGGCTCAGCGCCCCTCAGGGGTTGGGTGGGGAGTAACAGCTGCAGGATCAGTCTGCAGTGTTTTTGAGTATTGTTTTGGAGCTTATTTCTGCTGTACAATTACTGCCACTCATGCAAGAGGAGTGCCAGGGCCTCCTGCAGTGTCTGTGCACAAGAAGGGCTGTACTAGGTCAGACTAGATCTGTGTCTCTTCTGCCGGGGGCTGGGGCTGGGTACTTCAGAGGGAATTGAAAGAGCAGTGCACGGGTGGCCAACCAGTGAGAGATGAAGAGCCAAAATAGCTGTGGATAGAGTGTGAAGAGCCATGTATTAGATATTTATTTATATACATCTAGATAGACAGATAGCTATAGTACGCAAAATGTAGTGATAAAAATAACATTACAGGACATTTTAGACCAAAACCAATAAAAAAAGTTTCTAGTCACTTAAAAAATTCACAGCCAGTCCATAGATCTTCAGAGAACTTGACAAGGAACAAACATCAAATTTAAAAAAAAACCTTTAAAAATACAGTAATATTCTGAGATATTCTAAACAGAGTTAATTAGGGATAGTCGTTTTTATTAATTGCACTACATCACTATTATTACAGGCTTAATACTGCCCAATGGTTACACAACTACGGCAAAGTAATACGCCAATAAGCGTAGGCAGAGCAATGCATAAAAGAGTAATAGGCACCAGGAAATGCTTACTCCTCTTCAGTCTGCAGGGAGTCCCGTTCCTGTCGCCTCGCACCAGGCTTCAGTGGGCGTGGCTCTAACTGAGGGAATCCAGGGCACCCTTCGAGGTCTAGGTCCCTGGTGAGACTCCCAGAGGGGCGGGACTCCCAGTGATCTTACCCTTTAGCTGTTTACTGAGTGTGCGTGAGTTGGCCCAATGCCACTCTCAGCATTCCCACAGGGCTGAGAACCGAGGTCACGTTGTTCTCCCATACTCGGCTCTCACCTAGCAAGCATAGGGAGTTGTGGCTGATGAAGGCCGTCTGATAAAGAACACCTGGTGTCTTTGCCAGCAGGGCTCATGGCTGGCCTAGAGGAATACAAATCTAACCCTTGCAGGCCCACATATGGCTTTTTATATATTACGGGGTTGGGGGGGGGGCAAAACCTGGACCCAGTCCTATTGCTGAGCTCTCACTCGACCGACCGACTGGCTGGCTGGTGGGAAAGCTGCAGGCAGCCTTGAAACCCCCTTTCCTTCCTGGTGCAGATGCTGTCTGGGTACCTGCGGCCCGGGGCCCTGACCTCAGCAAGGGCCCCTCTGATGAGGCCTAATTGGAACATGCGGCAGGGAGCAGCTGCCTGGAGCGTGGGGGGCAGGTCCCTGATGTGCTGGTGTGGTCGCAGCCCAGGGAAGTCGAAGCGGGGTGGGCTGGGCTCTCCGTCTGCCTGGGAAGCAGTGCCTGTCCCTGGGTCTTGGGCCTGCGAGTGTGGAAACAGGGCGCTTCCCGTGCCAGAGGAGAGCTCGCTGGGCTGGGGCTCTGACTAGTAGCAGGGGGTGCTGCTGTGAGGGACCCCCAAGCAGCAGCCTGAGAGCAGCATCCTGCAGAACTTGGACTTTTCCTAACACGATTTTCCGGGTCTTTCCAGGTGTTCCTCGTGTGGCCAGGAGCGCGACCCCCACTGCAGCGAGCAGTCGCAGGGCCAGCAAGATGGCGGGAGCGTCGGTCAAGGTGGCGGTGCGAGTGCGGCCGTTCAACTCCCGAGAGATGGGCCGGGATTCCAAGTGCATCATCCAGATGACAGGAAGCACCACCAGTGAGTAGCAGCCCTGGCCGGCAGGCAGACGCCCCGGGGCTCTGAAGGGAGCGGGCTGCCCTAGCTCTGCATTCGTTTCCACTGGGTTGGCTGCGGCTAAGGGCAAAACAGCCCCTCGAGGCCCTGCCAGTGCACACCATGCTCGGGGGGGGGGCGGCAGTGTCGCCAGCCCAAGAGCATGGCTCAGCCCCCGGGAGTCCGAGTCTGGCTGACAGCCCTAGGAAGGAATCGTTGGAAATCAGCTGTTCTGCGTTCTCGCTCTTTGCCTTCCGGCTTTTGCGCCTCAGAGGCGCGTGGGTCACGTTTTCAGGGTTTCCTCCTCACTCAGGAGAGCCAGACTGCTCCTTTTTTCCTCCTATTAAAAGCTGCGATTCTTGCGTGATCCCAGGAATCCAGCAGCGGGGGCTGTAAAAAGCCACAAATCTAATGAGCCTGTGGCAGAATCGGAATGCCACGCTCCAGAGATGGAGCCTGATTGTGCACTGCTGTGTACAGCGAGGTGCCAGTGATGGCCTGTGCAAAGTGTGGTGAGATACCGGCACGGGGGCGGGAGGAGAGAATCGTAACCTGGTAGCAATTGATGTCCTCTTTGCTCTGCTGGGCCCAGACGTAACCCCTTCTGCAGGCACCGGGTATGGTGTAATGATGGATAAGCTACCTTGAGGGTTTATCCTCTTGCCTTTTTTCATCTTCCATGTAAAAGCCGAAGCACTAGTGAAAGCCTCGGTGCGCTCCAGTTTGTGGGGTGTAAGTGCCGCTTGGGGGGTGTTCTGATTGGTTGACCATTGCTGGTTTTGATTGTTGCTGGAGGAAGGGGTGTGGGCAGAAGGGGAGTCGGAGTGACAGCAGAAGGGCTCTGCTCCATGGGAGGCAGCCTGGCCTAGCAAGCCTCCGCCCGCTTAGGAACTCGGCCCGGTTAACAAGTCTCTTTCTCTGCCATGTGTTTCTTTGATATAAATTCAGTCCTGCTTAAATTTGCTGCCACTAAAACTGAAGGAGGATGAAACATAGTGGAGGCCGGAGAGACTCTGCACAGTGACCTAGTGAGAGTCGGCCAGCGACGAGAGAATATTTATTTTAGCCGACTCCGTGGGGGTTCCGGGGTTGAAGTGGGTGCTCAGCATCCATGGGTGGGCCCTGCTGATCAGTGGCCTCCTGCCTGAGCAGCTGTGCAGTGTGGGCAGCAGGCACTGGGTGGAGGGAAGGAGTGGGAGCAGGGAGAGGTGGGGTTGGGGCGAACTCACCGTCTGCGTGTCCAGCGGCTGACTGGACGGTCAGAAGAGGGAGGTAACATTGAAAGGGTGGGAGTGTAGCAGACAAGCAGCCCTCAGCTGGCCCTTCGCCTCACCCTAGAGCCGGAGGAGGGAGCCACGCGGCACCGCGGCTCAGGCCAGTTCTGTGGTGTGTGCTTTGGTAAAAGCCAAGGCAGGACAGCTGAGTGTTGTGATGGAAGAAGGTCAGAAAACCCCTTCGGAGGTGAACATCCCAGAGAGGGGATCCAGGCCAGTAACAGGAGACCTGACCCGACGCACCCCGGGCCTTGATGCCTCCAGGTGCATTGTTGTCCCATCACTGGAGCGCTCTGCCCTGCGCTGTCGCCCGCCCCGGGGCAGTGGGGTGCACCCGGGACACAGGTCGGTCCCCTCGCCAGTGGCGAGAGGCAGCAAGGTCATGTGAGTTCGCTCAGCCTGTCAGAGAGGAGACGAGGCGCTGTCCCCAGAGGGATTTTCCTCTGCAGGCCGGGGAGGAGGAGGAGGCTTCTGGAAGGAGATACTGAGAGCACCGCTCCATGCTGTGGGTGGGAGGGATTTTGTGGCTCTTTGGACTGCACTGGGGTACCCCGGGGAAAGGGGGGGGGCTTTTGTTAAGTGGCTGTTGGAGGCAGGGCCAGGTCGCAGGAGCAGCCAAGTCAGGCTGGGCGGTTCCTGAGAAGCCCTAAGAAGGGGAACCCGAGGCAGAGCACCGCAGAGCTACCCCAGCCCATGAGGGGGCTATTGGGATGCAGACCCACGGCTGCCAGGCCCCGCCCCTCCTCTGGCACAGCAGCATCAGCCGAGAGGGCTGGTTCTCCCCCAGGCTGCACTGACCCGGCAGGTGGCTGCAGGGTGAGCGCTCCGGTCTGTCACGGTGGCTGGCATGGGAGCGTCCCTGACAAAGGGAGCAGTGAAGCCAGTGCCCTGCTGACAGAGGGGTTTTCATCAGCCACCGAACAAAGCAGCCATTGAGGGCAAGTAGAGAGCAGCTAATCCCCTCAGCTGGGCATGAGCCATGTGCTGTCAGCCTCCCTCCGACCCACCTCAGCCACACCGGTTCTGGCCTGGGGGCTCCCCGGGGAGGGCTGTGAGGAGGCTTGGCCACAGCTGCTCCCTGTGCTGCTGTGTGGGGCTCCCCTGTGTCCCTGTAGCTCTGCCAGGAGAGGGGGCCCCGGGCACTGGCCTCGGCCGGCGGGGAGGGAATCCAGGAGGCTGCTTTGTGACTTTCCTAGTGATTTTCGGTCCGTGCTTTGCTGGTGCAGCAGAATCAGTGGAAGCTCCGACGCCTGCGTGGTCCCACCAGGCTGGGCTTCTGCGTTAGATAACGAGGCAACGGGCTTGCCAGCCCTTCGGCCCAGCCCAGCCCAGGCGTCGGCAGGCAGGGATGGGTCGCTGGGTTGCTTGTGTGGGAGAGAAGACTCCCGCTGGCAAAGGAATCCGTGGGAAGGAGCCTGGGCCGTTTGCCAGGCAGGATTTCTGAGCGGATCTTGAAGAAGATGCTGGGGAGCTGACCCCTCCCCTGGCCCACGAGGCCTCAGTGTCTGCGTGGTGACCGCCGTGAGGCACAGGCGCGGTTTTACCGACGCGCGATGAGAGAAGCCAGGTCTCACCGGGGCTGGTGGTGGATATTGTTACTGCAGGGAAAAGTTGCCTTGTCCCGCTCCATTGCCTGTTCCCAGCTCTCCCGGGAACCACACCCCTTTGCCAGATGAGTGTGCCCAGTCCCACCTCCAGGAGTGCTCAGATCTTTTCACTGTTCTCTCAGGCCTCCTTCCAGGTGTGTGCAGGGCCACCATTTCCCCGAGTGCTGGCAAACGGCAGGCTTCTCCTTTGGGGTGGGCGGGCGGCTGGGCCTGGAGAATGCGCTTCGCTGCAGCGATCCAGTAATATGTGCTGTGGGGTAGCCTCCTCTCTCAGCACCCCACTGTGCCAGCTGCCTGTGGGGCTATCCCTGGGTGAGGAAGGGTTCCGTCTGGGGGACTGATCACAGCTTGGCTTCACAAATCACTAAGTGCCCGGGAAATGTTTCGCGTTTGTGTGCTTGGCTAAGGCTGCTGAGTGTGGAGAGAGAAGAGGGATGGGAAGCAAGGAGAGAGCCCGGCTCTGGAATCGGACGCCAGCCCGTTTCCAGCTTGCAGCTCTGCTCACATGGCTTCTG